TGTTTTGGTGGACAGTAATCGTTTTTTAAACGGCTAATATACAGCATAAAATTTCGCACAAGATATAGAAGCTCCAGATAGATATGAGCCGAACATAAAAATGGCATTGATGCACCTGAATGCCACGAGATAAAAGCTGTATTTTCCTGTCCAAAACTGACACTAGGCATCTCCAACAAAGTTAATGTAAAAGGGTACTGAAAAAGTTCCCAACAACAAATCAGCAAACGCCATGTTCATAACTAGGAATAAACGTTTTCTCTTCAAAGAAATGCTTTGGTAACTGCAAAGAGAACAGGAGCAAACAAGTTTCCTGTAATGATTAAGGCCGAAGAAAACAAGTATGCGCTGCAAAGTACGATCCCATCTGCCTTGGAAGGGAAACTTCTTGCAAATTGAGATTCATTCTTCAGGCTTCCGTTTACTTCCGACGTGTCATTCATTTTAAACTTATAACAATGATTTCGTGCCGAGAGTATTTGCTTGGGGTAAAAGATGCGGTGTTTCAAAGGAAAAGAGCGCAACCTTTTACAACAACACGAAATAACAACATCTGAAAAGGTACCGTATTTATATTTCATGGTAATTTTATTCAAGGTATTCATGTAGTCGAGATTGACAATACATTTCAAACTAGTGCCGTGCCTCCTAGAACCCTTCATGTCACGATATAGGCTGCTCATCGGAAAACGTAGCAACTGTTCAAGTATTTTTCTGTTAACACACCCAGACCTGCAAAGATGTTCAAAAATTTCTTGCCTGCCTCAAATTTCGTCACAATCCGACTTGGGCGTTATCTTCTCACAATGAGACATAATAGTTTTTAAATCATCCGGATAATTTTCTCGAGACACTTGTCACTCAATGCTATGTTCACTCTCAGGATATGCTGCTCCAGGCCTTTTTTTAGCTCAATCATGCTGAAAGCAATGAATGAAGTATTGTGGTGAAGCAGATATTGACCGAAATTGTCGACTGTGGACGGAAGTTGTATTCTGTAGACGGAAGTTACATTGTGAACCGTGAACGGAAGTGGTCTCGCATGCTACCCCTCCCCACTTAGTGAAAGTCAAAATTAATTTCGATAAAGCTCAGAAACTCACGTGGAAAGAAGTAAAATTTTTGTATGGTACAAAAGAGAATTACAAAAGAGAATACAAAAGAGAAGTCAGCCAGTCTTGTAGTCTACACATCCTACTACAATCTGCAATGTTCTGCAAGTATTCACTGAAAATAAAGGGTTCTACAAAAATAGGCTGTGCTACGCCAGATACGAAAAACCACTAAAAAACCACTCTTTAGAAGTGGCCAAAAACTATGTGGAAACGTATCCCTCATCTAATGCAGCAGCACTTTACCCCGAGGAAAGGGTAACTAAAATAAACCTTGTTACACTACTAAATCACACAGAAAATTAAATGAAAGGAGTGATCTTTTACATGGAGTTGTAAAGCAAAATTACATTAAATAAAAATTAAATAGATAAAAGAAAGTGGCCCAACCTAAGACTGACCGACGTAGAATGACCTAATTTCCCCGCGAAACGCTTAAATAATCCGAAACTACCATGATGCCATGCGAACCTCTCCAACGTGCCGTCAGAATATTAATTTCTGACTAATTCGTTCCCATGTCTCTCAAAGGTCAGAAATCACATATTCTGACTACACTCAGGCGAGATATTCAATGTGAAAGTTTATTTAGGAGAAGTCAGCCAGTCTTGTAGTCTGCACATCCTTCTATATTCTCAAAAGATATCAAGAAACGAGCAAGGAATATTTCACAATAGTGCAAATGATCGTGAAAGATGAGGGTTACTAATATTTTGCTTGTAGAGCAACATTTGATGCACGATTATGCCCACCCAGCCCACCCTCCGCCCCACAAACACACACACACACCTAAAAAAAAAGGACACTGTCTGCCTAATGATCTCTGCCCATCCCACACAGCCTTTTTTAGATTCCCATCACAAATAAAAGAAAACATTTATTTTATTCCATAAGTAATTAAACTGTACCTATATTCAACAAAGCCAAAAAATCGATTCAAACTTAAGCCCTGAAATGAACGAGCTGGCTCCAAGAGCCTTTTGATTTCTATTCCATTGCTGACCTTGTCGAAAGAATTACGAACTTTGTAAGTCCACGACACGCGCTTTTTATTTTTTATTTTTTTGGACTCGCGCCACAGACTGAACCGAAGAAAGGGACAGTTCGTAGTCTAGAGAACAGCTGAATGTCAAAGATTTGATGGGTTTTCTTCCGTTTGCGTGTCTGATATTTTTTTCCCTTCTCGATTTTCCTTGTTCTTTTTCGAGGATGACATGATATTCCTAAAGAAATAGTGGAAAGAAGCTCGCGACACGGAATAGCAGTAACTTCTTTTCGTAGAGGGTTGGTCATGGGTTTTTTCCTCAATCGATCAATTTTTAGATAATCGTGATAATTTCGTGATCTCTTTCCCGTAGTCGACAGCACATTTTAATTGAATACATGAAGTTAGCGTCATTTTAGCGTCATGTCTTTTCATCAGATTACGAACAGCTCCTCGTGTATTGTTTGTTAACACACTCGGAGCCACACACTTTAACACCCTCATCAGGTTCGTTTTTCCCTAAGACTTTTCTTAGTCATCAGTCCACAAATTACCTAACCCGTAAAACCGTCATCATTTCTCGGTAAGAAGAGGAAATATTCCTCAATGTTTTATGAAAAAAAATGTACATATCCTTTCGGAGAAAATGTGTTTCACACATGTGTAATTCTATGCAGTGTGCTATTTTCAGACATTTTTACTGAAAAGAGAAAATGATATAAACCATTTCTTCTTTTTGTCGATTAAAATGCCGGTTGAAATGTGTCTAAATACATTTTTGTCTCTCAAAAATATCGATGAAATACCAAAATTTCTCTTAGCACGTACAGATAAAAAATCACGTCATGGCAACCTGCTTTATCAAAATGGCGGTTTACTTTTCATGAAGGGCTGTTTTTATATTACGAACATCAAGTCTGATTCAACCTTACATTCAGAGGTAGTAATTATTTCCTGATATTTTTTTTATGTCAAAATTAAAGTTTCTTGACTACGAGCCGGGGCTGAGTTACCGTGCAGGTGCCTTGCGCATTCAGTTTACTTGAATATGTTTTAAATTGTTTTCGATCTAAACAGGCGATCGTTCTCCTTATAATCAATGGCAAAATAACATGCTAAAACTTTACTTGATTTAAGCTTGGAGGAAGTTACAGCTGTACGCTCTTTATTCTATGCTATTTTTTGAGGGCGCGGCCCGTAAGATGGCCATTGACATGTTCTGACAACCTTAAAAGTATAGGTGTGTGAATTTGAGCGATTACTTAAGAGTTAGAACTTCTATATGCATGAAGAGTTTATTTTTTCATAAAATGACAGGATATCTTGCTCAGATAGGATAAATAAAACAGTAGATTTTATTACTGGATGAAATTCAGACTTAACTTATGTGAACTTCTGCTGCAAAAAGCAACTCTACGGAACAACAGGGCTCTGTGAAGTAAAAAATTGAAAATCTAAGAACGTTATCCTATT